CAATCTGTGTTCTGGCCCAGATCTGACTGGATCTAGCATGAGTGTGAGGCAGGGTCAGGCAGTAGTCTGACATCATGGGTCAGTCTCCTCTGCAGTTCTATACTTTAACTCAAATTTTCTCCCCAATTTTATTTTGTATTGATTTCAGGTATACAGCTTAGTGGTTAGAGAATCATATACTTTACATAGTAAAGGAAATAGTCCTCTTAAGTCTGTTGTCCTTGCCGAAACCGGTTTGGCTCAGTGGATAGAGTGTCAGCCTGCGGACTGAAGGGTCCCGGGTTCGATTCCGGTCAAGGGCATGTACCTGGGTTGCGGGCACATCCCCAGTAGGAGATGTGCAGGAGGCGGCTGATCGATGTTTCTCTCCCATCGATGTTTCTAACTCTCTGTCTCTCTCCCTTCCTCTCTGTAAAAAATCAATAAAATATATTTTGAAAAAAAAAAAAAAGTCTGTTGTCCTTTATAGTCACCGCTATCCACGTTAGTAGATACTGAACATTTCCATCCTCGTGGACAGTTCTGTTGGGCCGTAGTGTTCCAGGTAGTGTGAGAGTTGGATCATGAGTGGATCAATATTTTAGATGAAGAGAGACAAGAAATACATGAAGAGCTCCAGATTATCTGCTATTTTATGAGATCTGAAGCAAGTCTCAGTTGGAGCCATATAATATGGTATTATTAACAGTTTTCTCTTGGAACTCTCAATCCAGAGTACTTTTAAAATTATGTGGTTGATTGAATGTAAAGAATGGCAGATAATCTTTCCATTAAAAGATAAAAATAGCCCTAGCTGGTTTGGCTGTGTGGATAGAGCATCAGCCTGCGGACCAAAGGGTCTTGGGTTCGATTCTGGTCAAGGGCAGGTACCTCAGTTGCAGGCTCCTCCCCAGCTGGGCCGTGTGCAGGACGCAACCAATCGATGTGTTCCCCTCACATCGATATTTCTCTCTGTCTTTCCCTCTCTCTTCCACTCTCTCTAAAGTCAATGGAAATATATCCTTAGGTGAGGATTAAAAATAAAAAAGCTAAAAATATTATTTCAGAAAATTTTGAAAGAATCTTTCTATTAGCCCCATTATCTTTTCTGGTAGATTTTATTTTTAAGTTGCAATGTAATATACTATTCATAGTTTATACGATACACTAAATTAGGTCAAGATAATCCTTAACTATATTCTATACAAAATGCTTTGATAGCCCTAGCTGGTTTGGCTCAGTGGATAGAACCTGCGGATTGAATGGTCCCAGGTTTGATTCTAGCCAAGGGCACATGCCCAGGTTGCAGGCTCAATCCCCAGTAGGGGGTGTGCAGGAGGCAGCCGATCAATGATTCTCTCTCATCATTGATGTTTCTATCCCTCTCCTTCCTCTCTTAAATCAATAAAAATATGTAAAAAGATAAAATCATCAAAATTCTTTGATATTAATTCTATATTCTTTTCATGTAGTTAAAATTCTTTCCTGCCCCCACCGTTTAAGAAGTATAACTCACACATAATAAAATGCACAGGTTTATGTGTATAGTGTGAATTTTAACTAGTGTATACTGTTTTTTTTACATATATTTTTACTAGAGGCCCAGTGCACGAATTCGTGCATGGGTGGGGTCCCTCGGCCTGGCTGGCAATCGAGGCCTATGGGGGCGGGTAGGCCGGCAGGGGGCAGGAGCCATGGGAGTTTGGCCAGTCGGCCTCCCCCAATGGGGGCCGATTGAGGGGGTTGGGTGGCTGGGGGGAGGGGCCGCAGAAGATTGGCTGTGGGAGTGCACTGACCACCAGGGGGCAGCTCCTGCATTGAGCGTCTGCCCCCTGGTGTTCAGTGTGCATCATAGTGACCGGACGACTGGTTGTTCCGATAGTTCTGTCCTAACGGTCGCTTAGGCTTTTATATATATAGATTAATTTCAGAGAAGAAGGGAGAGGGAGATTGAGATAGAAACATCAATGATGAGAGAGAGTCATTGATTGGCTGCTTCCTGCATGCCCCACACTGGGGATGGAGTCCGCAATCTGGGCATGTGTCCTGAGTGGAATTGAACCCCGACCTCCTGATTCATACTTCAACTCTCAACCATCCAGTCATGCTGGCCAGGCAAGAAGTGTGTACTCTTGTGAAATACTGTTCCCTCTGGGCCTCTTTCCCTCTTGTCCTAAATAACCACTGTTGATTTCTATCAGTATAAATTAATTTTACCTGTTCTTAAACTTTATGTTTTGAGAGTCATACAGCATGAGCTCTTTTGTGTCTTCTTTTGCTCAGCATAGTGTTTTAGTGATGCATCCATTTTATTTGTATATCAACACGTCATGGTTTTGTTTTTGTTGAGTTATGTTCCATTGTATGAATATAGTAAAATCGGTTTATCCATTCTCCTGTTGATGGAAATTTGTGGTGTTTCCAGTTTCTGGCGTTCCAAAGCTGCTACAATTTGAATGCCTTTTTCATGAGCTTATAGGCCATTCATATAAACTCTTTCATAAAGTGTCTTCGGATCTTTTGCCCTGGTCAACATCTAAAATAATTTAATATGTACCCTTACTCCGCTCTTCTCTACACCATTTTCTTAGAAGCCATAGCCAAATTGGCATGACAATTTTTAAAAATCCCCCTGACAGGTTTTTCTATAGAAGAAAGTACTTATTGATAGGACTAGTGGCCTAGAACTGTGGTAAGTCTTAAGCATTTTTCAGGGGGCCTTGAAATACCATTGGAGGTAAGAACAAGCATTGTAAGGATTTGCTTCTGATAAGGCAATTATATGTTAAGCATACTCATTAAATTAAGGCTTTTATTCACTGCCAAGAAATCTGAAATGAGACAGATCCTTTACTTATCTTCCCTCCCCTCTGAAATGCTTATTTTGGTAGATACATTAGAGTTCATCAAAGTTCTTGACTTAGGGTCCTAGGAAAAGATCTGTCTGCTGAAGCTGACTGCTCAAGTGTCTGACTGCCATGACTAAATGTTACAGGACATGTTGATCCCAGGTCTCTCCGTATTGCACTGATGGAAACGGCCCTGAGCCCATTTGGTCTTGCACAGCTTCTAGGACTTTTTGATAGATAGCAGGTTTCCTGCAGGAAAACTCTTGGTAGGTGGGGCTTAACCAATCTCAGATAAAAAATTTTTTTCACACAACAGTCATTTATTAAATATTCTTAGCAAGCAGGCACAGAACATAACAATCTGTCCTATGAGCTTAGCTCCTGCAGTTTTGGGTATTCTGACCATTCCTTTATGAAAGGTTCTGTGGGGCAGCAAGAGTAACTTTCCTCACACCTTCCTAAGTCCTGGCTGGGCTAGTAGCCAAAGCAGCAGGAGACAGAACAGTAGAAAACGTCTGAAATTATTTGGATACACGTGTGGGGGTGCCATAAGAATATGATACCCAAGGAGACACTGGGCAGTTGAGGTTTAGATGCCATTCTGGACAAAGGAGGAGGAGGAAAGGGTCTGGGATTTCAAAGGGGAAGCAGACAATTTACCAGTAGAGAGAGCAAGCGGGGCGGGAAACAGATTCCTGCTGCCGCCCCAGAAACAAGGGCACACAGGGAAGGCCAACAAGCAGGCTTTGCAGCTCTCTCCGTCCGCCACATTTCATTTCTATTCGCCCTTCTTTTAAGCAGGTGTTTCTATCTGAATTCCTTAAGGGGGTAAGGTTCAGAGGTTCTTTCTGAGACTTTTGTTTCTTAATAATCAGCTTTAAAAATCAATATCCCTAAAGGTATATTTTGGGATGGCAGAGTGTCTGTTGCCTTGAATTGCCATGAATGGAGGTTGAAGCAGCTTATATTCCTACCCACCGGCAACCTCACCAACACAGCCTTTCCAAACTCCTCTGATTTTTACCAGTCTGAAGGAAAGCCAGGACCTGGTAGTTTAAATTTGCATTTTGTTATTTTTTTAAGAACATAAAGTTGAAAGAAGATAGGCATCTTCGTGAGATGAATTTAAAATATTTTCCCAGTTTATTTCTTGACTTTGTTGCTACAAGACCTTTTTAAAAGTGGGTATCAATTTAGCAGTCGATTCTGTGACTTTATTTTGAAAGGCCTTCTCCAGTTGAACCCCACAAAAGAAGAATTCATGGTTTTGTTGTTTACATTAAAGTCTTTGATTCATCTGGAGTTTTGGAATCAAGTTAGGGAGGTTTACTTTTGAGGCAAACATATAATGTATATATTGTATTGGGATTGTAAATACTGTGTCATTCTTGGGAAAGAGTTGTTGCTGTATTGTCTGTTTTAAGGGAGGTCTTTGCAAAATTTTTCACGGATTATTAAAGTAACACTTTTTATTTATAACTAAATTGGGACTGTACTCATACTGTATCTTAATTATTTTTCACTTGAGACTATAAGAAACATAGGTTTAGAAAATACTTTAAATGGTTGCTTAGCATGGTCTCGGAATTTTTGTTTTTTAACCATACTAAGGCCTTTAAAGGAATGATTGACCGCAGTAGTGGGCTCACTTTAAAATTTTGACCTATTGTGAAGACACGTTCATTGTAAATAAGGCGCCAACACGGGTCTCCACCTGAGAGAGGACGCAGCTCTGGGTGGCCGAGGTCTGCTGGCCGGGCGCCCCGGGGTCTCTGCGCTGGGCTGGG